GGCTCGATACTGCTCGTCGTTCTGGGCCTGGTTCTCGTTGTACCGAGCTTGGAACGAGGAGAACCAAGCGGGAGCCTGCTGTGAAAATGTGCTCGGGTGCCCGCCCATCGACAAGGGAGGCTGATAAGTGTCTTGCTCGGGATGTGTGTCGGCCGTCGAGTCCTCATCATCTCCGTCATGAGAGGCTGCTGGGGCTGGTCCGGCTGACGTGCCGGCTGCCGACTGGTCCTCAGGTAAAGGAATGCCCATCTCTCTACAGTAGGCTTTGTAGCTCTCTCGCTCGCGGACGGGAAGAACAGCGCCGCCGGGCTTAAGGAAATGCCCATGATAGAGCTCCCGGTGCGAAATCGTGCGAGAATGAATCTTGGGCTCATCAACGCCAATCCCAAAGTGCTCGGCAAGCTTGGATACGATATGCCCCAATGTCGGTCCACGCCTCGGGTCGTTCCGCACATCGAAGAGGGACTCCTTAAGGTACTGCAGCATACTAACCGACTTGTCCCTCGAAATCGACCAAATTATAAACACTTGCTGCTCACTCACTTTGTTTGACTCCTTCTTGCTGAAAATCATATGAGAGATATACTTGTGGATCATGGCGTGAGCCACATCGGAGAGTAAGCCCGAAGAAGCCCCGGCTCTCTTGAATTTCTCGCACGGTGAGATGGTCGGCCAATAGGGGTCGGCTTTCCATCCCATGGGGCTATGACGAGTCCCGATGGAGGCTTTGAACTTGAAAATATCTCGGAGCACTTTGTCGGTGACCTTGTACTCTTGCCCTTTTAGACGAGCCGTGAGGTAATTGCCGTTGTCGTGCATGGCAACCGTGCTAAAGAACTCAAGGGTCAAGTTCCGGTAAGTGTATTGCTCCATGTCTTCGAACTCTACGAGGTCGAGTAGTGTAATGTATCGACTGAGATCGTCCTTAATGCCCAAGGTCTCGAAGTAATCCCAATCGAGGGTGCGTGGAGCTGCTAACGGTTTGCCGGCGAGCCTTTTATAAGCCGTGACCTCGTCCATTGATTGGACGTCGAAAGGCACCCCGTGTTGTTGAGCGAGAGGCTGGTTGTCGGTTGGCGGGTCGGTATCGGAGCTCGTAGAGATCACCGCTCGAGACGTGGACGCTGCGGGAGCCTTTTTCTTTGAAGCCCCGGTTGTTTTGCCCATGATTTTTAGTTTGGGCAATTCGTCGAACACTTGGTGGGCGGGATTGAGGGCTAAGAACTTGTGAACAATTTGGTACGGTTTGAACTCGGAGTAGGCCTCCTCGAGCCGCAACAATGATCAATAAGCAATCACGGGAAATGAAGGTACTTTTGTAAGCGAGTTTTGGGCCAGAATTTATCGATCCTCCACGAGCTAGGGTTGGTGGTTGTGAGGATTGATGGAGAGCAATCCCGAATTCCAAGGTGGGACTGGCCGGAGAAGAGTCACCGGAGCTGCTAGACGGACGGTGGTCGGAAGTAGTGGCCGGAGGTCGGCGGGAGTAGTGGCCGGAGGAACTTGAGATCGATGGTGTGAATGCTCAAGAGTTTAGAGATTGTAAAATAACTTTACTCCCAGGTTTTTTTTTTTTAAACACAGCGGGGGGTTAGCGGCGCTATGGTATGGTCCGAATTTGGTTTTTCCACTGAAGGTCGTTATGGGCTCGCTTTCCCGAAACGCCGTTTTGCAATCTACCTTAGCACCGCTATGACCATAGCGGCGCTATCACTTGATCCTTCAAAAAAAATTCTGAACCTCGTTATGTCCTCGCTAACCACGTACCGCCGCTTTGAAAATCCTCATAGCGCCGCTATGAGCATAGCGGCGCTTGCCTGCTTTTTTTTTTTTTTTTA